TCACCCGGGCAAAATTCAAATTTTCCAACCAACTGAAAATGTTTAATGTGTCTGGCTCACTCATATGACCTTATGGAGTTGCGAGCGCCGCAAAGAAATAAACAAAATAAACAATACAAAAGAGTGAACAGAAATGGTGTACGTGTGTAACAAAATTTAATACTAGTACTAGTTTTGAATCTACGACCATTTCTAAAACCTTCCCTGCAACCAGAGAATCTGGTTGGAGTGTTTACGATCACGATTATTGGGTCTACCAGTGTTGAAAAGCCTGAACTGAGGCAAACGAAGGCATAAATCCACTTCAGTAGTCCAATCCGAGTAGAAATATCCATGCAAATCTACAGTTTATCAGCTAACAAAGTTGAGAGAAAGCTGGATTTCTTTACAGATCGTGAAGATTTATGAGGGTTAATAAAACAGATATGCGTTTAGATTTCGTGCTGTTTCTTAGTTTATTGTGGGGTTTCGTAGTATACGGAAACTACATTGGTCCATACACGTGATTGTATTTTGTGATTTGTAAACGGGATTTTGAAACTAACTATCCATTTTACAAAATTAATGATTCGAAAGTATGGTTTTTAGCACGAAGCATTTAATTGTTGTGTATCTTTAAGTGGATTTGTGAAATCCGTATACGTATCATAAATCCACTTTCACGTCTTGAATTGTGAATACAACATTCACCGAGTACAAGTGGAACCTTTTTATGACCATTCGCAGCGTAAAATATTTCTACTTTTATTACCTTTTCCTCATAAGTCAATTTAGCCGAAACAGTAATGAACATTGGAACGTGGGACACCACATTCACAGGAGGACACTCTGGAATAAGCGTTATTGTACACCTATCATAAACCAACTTGTATGTTTCGCTTAAGTGCATTGCACGAGTCATAAAACCTGGATAATAACGTCTTTGGGGCTAGGCTGGTATCAAAGACCAAAAATAATAAACAGCTCTTCGTTTCTTTTGCGCTATAAAATATCAACAAGGCAGTTTGTTTTGCTCTTTATAGTAAACTTCGCCCCACTAGGTAAAACGTCGTTTGCTCGCGAATGACTACACAGCGACCTAAGTGTGACCCAACAGAGAGTATTTCGACCTCCCATTTATAACATTTGGTTCCACAAAGTGTGGAGACTGCGGGTGTATGTAGCAGACCAAGTAAGATCCGGGGACTCTCGTAGTGGAGAGGTTAAGGTATTCACCTCTCATTCAATAGATCGGAGGTTCGAATCCGGATAGCGACGGAACATTTAATTTTTCTTCTCTAATTTTTTTTCTCCTTTAATGTCCTTTCCTTCTCTCTAACAATGTTCTGTCGTCTGCTTTCGTCTCCACTTTCTACCCCACACCTAAACATCCTTTGCCCCCTCCTCTGGGCTCCTTCTGCAGCCTTTCTACTGCTACCTCTTGGCTCCTTCTTACTGAGCGCCAAGGGGTGGATGTCAACAGAGAAGTCCAAACGGGAAATCAGGTTAACTCTGCTTACCTCTCTAGTAGCACAAAGTCTTCTTCGACTATCAAAGCACCCCGGAAATAGCAGTTCACAAGAGAGTCACAAACATACAAAAAAGTAGAGGAAGAAATGATGAAAGTAAAGATGAGGAAAGAAAAAGTAGCAATCCCCCCTGCGTTGTTCCGGCACAGTATGACCATGACATTAATAAATCAGCCCATTTACAATTCTACTGTGCATAAGAACATGTTAATGTGCCCCTTTGGGAATGGCCTTAAGGCAAATTCAGTCAGAAGCACAGCTCTGATGGGG